ACAGGCATGAACCACTGTACCCAGCTGGCTGGCTGGCTGCCTTCCTTCCTTCCTTTCTCCCTCCCCACCTCTCTCTCCCTCCCTTCCTTCCTCTCTTTTTTTTTTTTTTTTTTTGTGAGACAGGGTCTTGCTCTGTTGCCCACGCTGAAGTGCGGTGGCACAATCACGACTCACTGCAGCCTCGGCCTTTTGGGCTTAAGCGATCCTCCCTCCTCAGCCTCCCAAGTCGCTGAGACCACAGGTGTCCACTGCCACGCTGGGCTAATTTTTAAATTTTTTGTAGAGATAGGGACTCACTATGTTGCCCAGGCTAGTCTTGAACCCCTAGCCTCAAGCAATTCTCCTATCTCTGTCTCCCAAAGTGCTGAGGTTACAGATGTCAGCCAGTGTGCCAGCCCTTCCAAGGCTGAAAAATACCCCATTGTGTGGATGGAGGCCCACGTTTGCCCCGTTGTGTGGACAGAAGCCCACACTTTCCTTACTGGCTCCATTGGCGCCCACTTCAGTGGTTTCCCCCCTTGGCTCTTGCGATTGACGCTGCTGTGAACATGGGTGTGCAGGTGTCTCCTGAAGACCTTGCCTTTGGGTTTTTTGGATGTGTACTTAGGAGCAGGATCGCTGGGTACCAGGGTAGCGTTCGAATGTGACTTCTGCTTGGCTGGCTCCTGGGGACCTTGAGAGCCAGCCAGGCACCCCTTCTTCTGCCTCTGTTCCCCTCAGCTTTCAGTGTCTGGCACATCACAGGTGCCCGTGGAGCCTGGGTTGGGCTCTCTGAACTCTGTGTCTCTATTTCTTGACCTTAGAGGATGGGGCTGGACCTGGTGTTGCTGAATCGCTCTTGGTCCCCAGCCATCCCTGGCCGGAGCTCCTAGTGTCCAGGCTGCAGCCCTGTGCACAGCGAGGTGGGCGGGGCCCTCACGGAGCTCCCCAGCCGGAGCTGGAGGTGAAGGTTTGAGTCTTCACATTTGGGGACCTGCAGTGATGGCCCCTGTCATCCTCTGCCTTGGCCCTCAGGCCACTCAGGGTGATTCTGTGACCAGTCGGGGCTCGGCACCATTGACGACTCAGGGTCCTCTGTGTGTCCCCTTGCCTCCTTCTGGAGTGACCTACCTGGAGGTGCCCAAGAATGCTGGAGCGGTTTGTGTCGTCTCCGTGTCTCCGTTGCTGCTGCCTGCCTATGACTTGGGCCTTGGCAGCTGCTTCCCCTCCCCGCTGCTCCCCGTCCTGCTCCAGGAGCCGCCTGTGACTCCCCAGGAGCGTGGCTCTGGGCCTGCAGGTGGCCCATGGGATGGTGACGCTGCCTCACCTGTGCTCCCCACCACGCCATCTGCCTCCTCTTCTGCCCATGCCCCTCGTCTCCCCCAGGGGTCTGTGCTTATCCCCTCCCCTACGTCCCTCCTGGGGTCCCTGAAAGCAGCAGGACACTGGGCAGGAAGGGCCCCTACTTTGTGCCAGTGACTGGTCAGGAAGGTGATGCAGCCTGTGTGCAGGGCGTGAACTCTCATTTCTACACAGGTTTAAAAGTTTATTTGGAACATTAGGAAGGATGAGCTTTGTGGAAATTCAGCGTTGTGTTTCCTGCTGTGTTTGGCTCACTGGGGGTTTGCGGTGGTCTGTGTTTGACTGGTTGGGGGTTTGCGGTGGTCTGTGTACCTTTGGGGACAGCTGCTGTGTTCAGTGTGTCTGTCCTGATCAGAACAGGAATCTGGGAGAAGGGAAGGGAATTCACTGCTTGCCATGTGCTGATGGGGTGTGGACCCAGGGAGCTTAGTAGGGCTGCCTCTGGGTCCATGAGAACCAGGCATTATGTGCCCCTCTGCTCCCCAGGTGTCCCTACCTGCACCGGACAACAGGGGACACGGAACGCAAATACCACCTGCGTTACTACAAGACGGGAACCTGCATCCACGAGACGGACGCGCGTGGCCACTGTGTGAAGAACGGGCTGCACTGTGCCTTCGCGCACGGCCCCCTGGACCTGCGGCCGCCCGTGTGTGACGTCAGGTGAGTGAGCATCCACGGTGGGCACTCAGCCAGCGGCTTGCCTGCCTGCTCCTGCAGGCTCTGCTGGCCCAAATCTCTCTCTTCCAGAATTTGTTTCTGAGTCTGGATGTTAGTCCTTTTTTTTTTTTTTTGAGACAGAGTCTTGCTGTGTTGCCCAGGCTGGAGTGCAGTGGTGCAATCTCAGCTCACTGCAAGCTCCGCCTCCTGGGTTCACACTATTCTGCCTCCAACTCCCGAGTAGCTGGGACTACAGGCGCCCACCACCACACCCAGCTAATTTTTTTTTTTTTTGTACGTTTAGTAGAGACCAGATTTCACCATGTTGGTCAGGATGGTCTTGATCTCTTGACCTCGTGATCTGCCTGCCTTGGCCTCCCAAAGTGCTGGGATTACAGGTGTGAGCCACCTCGCGCAGACCTTTTTTTTTTTTTTTTTTGAGGCAGAGTCTCTCTCTGTCGCCCAGGCTGGAGTTCAGTGGCACGATCTCAGCTCACTGTAACCTCT